AAAGCAATCCTCTATGAACATAAAGACCACTGTAATGAATAACACTATATATAATTGCGTGGGAAGATACGATAATCCTTGAAAATAATTAGATTTCTTGCCAACATGCTCAGTTCAGCATACAGTGAACTCAAGCATCCATAAGTAAGTATATAAGATTCATCATGCATATAAATATTGACTTGAGAATTAAAGAAAGAAAGGCATAGACTTTCGATGCATGTAACACTTCATCTACAAGCGACACTAGAAGAATTGCAAAAAATATCTTGCAACAAACACCATGACACCCTAACAAGCAACAACATCCTAGTGTCAAGAAAATGTATTAATCTCCTATGAACTACCGTAAGAGACCCATCACATACAAACAAGGGAACTTACAAGTGGATGTAGGAGAGCTCTCGTTCAAACAAAAGTCCAATCAAAGGTGATGGCAAATAATATGTGGTGGATGTTAAACTGCCCCATAGTTAGCAACCACTTAATATCAGTCAAAGCATTGATTCCTTACAACCAAAAGGACTCGATACATAGCAGAAATGATAAATTATTAGTATAAGACTGTGGCCCCTGATTTCTAAACCTAAGGTATTAGTAAAGATGCAGTCATCCAAGGTTGAAAAGATTTATTCTTTATTTAAGCTAGAAGCAGAAGATAATGATGAGGGCATAATGAAGGAGTTATATGTAAATTCTTATACGAGTTATGGGAGGAGAAAGCCAGATTAAATCATTATTGAGCGAGTGAATCTCAGTTCAACTAGGTTCTGAATATTAAGTAGATAAGATTATTGAGGCTTGCAAGTTTCTTTATGAACAGTGGTCATATCCAACACAACTGCTATGAATAAATATTGAAGTATTACGACTAACATAAACTACTATGAGCTATTGTAGATGATCCATCAAATGTCTAAAATAATCTCGCACATGCACTGTAATTTGTATAAACATAGGTACATAAAAGGGGTGAATATATAATACACCCGCATGTGCCATGGCGAGCATGTTTTGGATACATATGTGACGTTTAGGGATGCTCTGCGGGTCAATAATTGAATGTGGTTTGAGCCCGATCCTTCTATACAATAGGAGTCGACACGGCTCAAACTATCAAACAGATATACGATCAAGACATTGACTAAAATATCTATTCTATAGGTTCATATAAGACCTTCTAGGCCTAAGAACTGAGAAATTCATTAAATAAAATCATACAGCCTAAGAAAACCGATCTTCTATCGATAGCTCGATAAAGTTGACAAGATTCAAACCATAAATGGAAATGATCTATGATGATGATTGTGTTGAATGTTTATCTCAACCAAATACAAATACTTTCAAATGCCTCCCAAATATCCAAATGCCCATAAAATTCATATTTTGAAATCAGAAAAAATTTCAAAGATGTTTAGAATTAAAATCAACCATCTAATCACTTAAAGTAAAATTCATCCACCCTCTATAATAGTTTATAGTGGTGGATAAATTAGAATTTATTTCAGCTCACATAGATCTAATACCTAGTCAAAAATATCACAAGAATTTATTCTCAGGAAATCTATTTCCATTAAGAGCGTGGTACGTGTGCTCTAACCGACATTTTTTCCACCAAATAGCACTGTAGGTAAATGGTTATGACCCAGGGCCCTCTAAAGTGGGTGATTTTATCAAAGATTCTCACATCCCAACCACGTGTGCAAACTACAAAAAGCCCTCTAAGGTCTCAAATAATATCCCCATTAGTGGTACTCTACATTCTCACAAGACTTAACATCACTTAGATTTATGCCAAGCTCAGCAGGCCCCTCCCTACTAGTCCATAAAACCTGTCAGACATATCTACCTTCTCATTTATGTAGACAACATTCTTCTCATAAATAATAATCCCCACTTCATAACCAACCTTTTTCACCAACTTCACAACAAATTTCAACTTAAAGAATTAGGCCCAATCTCCACCTTCCTTGGCATTCAATTCACCAAAACTAAATCTGTATATTTCCTAAACCAACAATAGTATCTCCTCAATCTTCTAAATGACATCGACATGCTAACTTGCAAACCAATCTCTACTCCCCTCGCCCCCATGCGAACCCCAATGGATAGCTCACCACCATTCCCACAGCACACCAAATATCATAAGATTGTCAACTCACTACAGTATTTAATACATATTATACCTGATATAGCCTTTACAATGAATCAAATATGTCAATAGATGCAAGCTCTATCAAAAATGCATTTTCAAATGATCAAACACATCCATTCCTATCTCATGGGGATGAGTGACCTCGACCTCACCATTCACCAATCCAACTTGGCACTCATCGCCTGTACGAATGAGGATTGGGGTGGAAATCACATAGATTGACGATCAATTTTAGACTAGTGCTTCTTCTTAGTCACAACTCCCATACTTTAGAAAGTTCAGAAATAAAAAGCTGTCGCTCCGTCATTTATCGAGGCCGAATACCAAGCACTCACTTCTGCATCCTTAGAACTCATCTGGCTATACCGCATGCTACAAGATCTTAACATGCCCATCGCATCTCCCACACTGTAGTTCTGTGACAACATGTCCACCATCTCCATTACAAACAATCTGATCCTTTAAGCTCACACATTAAAATTGATATGCATTTCACACGATATCACATTACCTCCAAAGCTCTAATCATTCACCACATCTCAACCATTGATTAGCTCACAAACATACTCATGAAAGTTTACCCATTTCTCGCTTTGATCACCTGAGGGACAAACTGCAGATTCAAATCTTATAATCCACAGTTTGAAGGGGACTAACAGTAGAAATTGCACATGTGATGTGCTATCACATCTGCACACTACGTCCTTTATGTACCATCCAAAATTGAATAACAAACTAATAAAATCCTCACCACACATCAGATTGCTATTCATGTATTCACTACCTATACATACAAATGTAATCAACGCATATACGGTTAATGAAAATTTAGGAAAATTCCAAAATCTATTAATGTATTCTTCTCTATTTTACAACCTGCACATTTCCTCTAAACATACAGTTGAACTTTAAACTTCACAAATCTCTGAAATATAATTTTTATTTTAAACGTTTTCATGAATAAGAATGAAAGCTCTCCATTTTCAATAATTGGATCTCATTTAATCCCACATGTTTGGTACAATAAAATAAAATTACATTCAAATCTATATATAATACTTCTGATAATATCAAAAACTTAATTTGAAGCATTGGTATTACTGTGTGTCAGAATATTTGTGGTGATAGAGAGATTAAGAAATTGTTGTTTTAATATTTATATGAAGATCCATCAACACACATAGACATGAAAGGAGTGTAAGAATTATAAGAGAAACAAGAGTTTTTATATGGAAACTTGAAAGAGAATAATCATGAGATATGATCCTCCTGAAATGATTCCACTTGTGTTTGTTTTAAGATATAAATAAATCCTATTTTATTGAGAAAAATGTTGATATAATATTATAAATTTAAGAAAAATTAACATAAAATGTTGAAGCAAAAAAAAAAATACAGAAAACAATTTTCCCCCATTCAATAGAATGTGAAAAACTATTTTAAACATTCTATTGAATGATGAAAACTTTTTTTCGCATTATATTGAATGTGGACCGCATTTTAAGAAATCAAAAAATAATCTCACGTATTTCTTAATGCGGGATTTTATTTTATGTATTTTCTCCTTTTTATATATATTATCTCTTAAACCTGTTTAATTAAATTAAAAGCCCGCTGCTTTTTTTTTAAATTCTCTTGAAGATTTAGAAATCATTTAATTATCTGATTAATCTAAAAAAATATTTAATTATGTTTCAAGTACTTCATTTGAATTTATTCGAACTTGAGTTTGACCACTTTTAGTAGAATTGAGTTCATCTTATCATACACTCAATTGAATTTTAAGTTTGCTAAAATCGGAGTTTGGATGGTCATAAATTTAATTTTGAAGTTTATACTTCAAATATGTATTAAGATTCAAGCCTAATATATGGAATTTTTTATGACATATCAGATATAAAAAATTTAAAAGCTCACAATAGTCCCTCAACTATTCATATATAACCAATTTACATTTTCCAGTAATCATTAAACTATGCAAAATTGATCCCAATTTAACCTTTGAGGTATCATTTGAGATCAATTAATGTTATATAATCGGGCGGTTAAATGTAAGAAATATGATACTCTTAGATAACATCGAGCGTATAAAAATAGTCTGGGAAACTATTTTGAACTCTTTCCCTATTTCTATAGTATAGAGTATTATTCCCATGATTTTTTGGAAATAACCTGACCATATTGAAGACAATTTTAATCAATGATGTCACTGTCTCCTAATATAATACACAATTAGCCTGATTATTATAATACCAAAGTATGAACCGAATACTAAATCTCATTAACCACAAACGTGGAACACACATCATATTGACGTCTTATTCAAATGCCAGTTATAAGATAGGCCGTAAGACACTATTTTATGCAGATTTTTCTCTCATATTGACAAATCTGTCTATTAATTGCTTTATGAAATTGTGCTTATATGATTTAATTCTTCCCGCGTCGCCGTCAACCCATCCTATCGTTTACTTTCGATTGATCAAGAAGAGAAGAAAAGCAAGACATTTCTTTCTCATCTCCATTTAAACTAATTTAGAACTAGAAAAAAAATGATTATGGATAACAGAAGGTGAAGAAGACAGAGAAACTGAACACAGGAGAGATAAGAGGTTAGAATTTATTTATTTATTTAGTTATTATGCAAAGGAGAAACAAAAGAAAATCTATGTTGACTGATGGAGATGGGAATGATTCCCACGTCTATGTTGATAGGAAGGTTGGCCTTCCTCTCTACCACAGAAGCAATTCTGAAGATTCCCTTATCTCTTTCTCTGCGTCTGTTTCTTCTAAATCGTTTTTGCTTTAGGTTCTCTTCTTGCTCTGCAGTCTGCAGAAGGTAAGCTGCAGGCTTCACAACCACCTCTCTCGCTTTCTTAGAACTCTTTTTCTTTTTTTAAATAATCATGCAATGATGATTCGGTGCATTTATAATTTCAGATATGACTGTTTTTTATGTGTTTGATAATTTGCTACAGTATTTGATTTACATTTCAGAGGTGATTTCTGTAGAAAATTTTATTTATGTTAGGAAGATGCAGCTCATTATGTTTTCAAAGATTGCTATCCTTAGAATTATAGAGAGAGTCTCTTGCAAAATAATGGAAAATTTTATAAATTTGTCATCAGAAACTGAAAATAAAAAGAAAATTCAAGCATATCATAAGCAATTTACCGATTGTATTTCACGGTATACTTATTCCCTTTGAAGGACTAAGGAACTTTATGCTGCTTAAATAAAATTTATGATCATGGATTGATCAAAATTTTCATCATTCCATTTGCTGTGCTTTTTATGAGTTATTTTACAAGGTTTATAAATAGTCAAATTACCCTTTTTTCCTATCAGAGTATTGTATAAAGGAACTGAGCAAGAATTCTTAGACATGATCGGAAATTAGAAGTAATTTTAAAGATCAAGGACTATAATTAAAAATTTTAAGCTGGCTAATTGTATTAAATTCTCTACTAATCAAAAGTTGCTTTTCAGATGAATAGTTAATCAATTTATGCAGAATCAATCAAGGTTGAAGGCAGCTAATTAACTGCAAACCATTTTTTAACCCTGCGATTGAGAAGAAACACCTTCATGTTCCTGTATGACCATTGTTTCTGAGAAGATCAACTTCACTGTTATGCAACAGAGCTTTACTTAAATGTATTTTACTTAGATATATAATCAAGCTTGCAGTTTTTTTTTTTTTTTCAGCTTAAAACTTATCAAGACAAACATTTGTGGATTGCATAGATGTTTATATAATCCTTTTTTGAAACTCATGAGCTGATAGTACAAACAGAAACTTTTTTATTTTGCATACTATATATATTTTGCTTGTCAGAGAGCCAATTTTTAAGCTCTGTATAATTTATATATACATAGATTAACAGCACCTGGATTAATTAAAATGTTTCAGATAGCTATTAGTCTGATTTAGGCACCAATTACTGATATATTGTTAGCTATTATTTGCATAGCCATGGGTATACATTAGTTATCCATATAGGAAATTTTAAATTGAAGTCATCCATTGTTCTTGTCTCTAAAAAATATAAGTTTTTGTAACAGCTAACCTCATTTTTCCTCCTTCTGGTTCAGGCGGTTTGCTTCCATTAGTTAGAACTCTTTATTCAGAAAGAATAAAAACATTTAATTTAAATGAGCAATCTTAAGCTGGGAGTAGAAGTTGTCAGTGCTCATGACCTCAATCCAAAGGATGGCCATGGCTCCTGTAATCCCTGCGTTGAGCTCCATTTTGATGGCCAGAAGTTTCGAACCACTGTCAAAGAGAACGACCTCAATCCTTATTGGAATGAGCTGTTCTACTTCAGCATCTCTGATCCCTCTTCCCTCCATAATTTAGCTCTCCAGGCATTTGTCTACCATGTAAACAAAAGCGCTCGATCCAAGACTGCTATAGGTAAGGTCCAGATTTCTGGCACCTCATTTGTCCCCCAATCAGATGCGGCTGTCCTCTACTATCCCTTGGAGAAGAACAACGTGTTTTCTAGTGCAAAAGGAGAGCTTGGGCTCAAAACATTTTTAATTGATGATCCCTCTTTGAGGTCTTCCACTCCTCTCCCTGATACTGAATTCTTTCAAGATTATCAGTCTGAAGATGGAATTCCATTTCCAAATTCAACTTCTAGATATAGAGAAAGCCGACCAGATTCAACAAATACATTCCATCACCTCCCAAGAGAGGAAAGCCAGCATAACTCTTCCGTTTTCACAGTTGATGAGATGAAGTCAGCTCCTCAAACACAAGCAAGATTTTTCTCTCCTTCTTCTTCACAACAGCCATTTGAGTTCCAGCTCAAAGAGACAAGACCAATACTTGGAGGAGGACAGGTTGTAGGAGGTAGAGTGATCCCCGGAGAGAAGCCAACCAGCACATATGATCTTGTTGAGAAAGTTGAGTATCTCTTTGTTCGGGTTGTAAAAGCTCGAGATTTACCATCCAAGGACATCACAGGAAGCCTTGATCCCTATGTAGAGCTGAGACTTGGAAACAACAGAGCGAGAACCAGACACTTCGTGAAGAATCAAAACCCAGAGTGGGATGAAGTTTTCGCCTTTCCCATCGAGCGGCTTCAATCTTCAGTCCTTGAAGTTTTGGTTAAAGACAAGGATGTTATCAAAGATGATTTTGTTGGAATGGTGACCTTTAATCTTACGGATCTCCCTCGACGAGCACCTCCTGATAGTCCATTGGCTCCAGAGTGGCACTGGATGGCTGATGAGAAGGGAGGAAAGGCGAAAGGAGAGCTTATGTTAGCAGCATGGATTGGAACTCAAGCTGATGAGTGCTTTTCCATTGCTTCACATACAGATTCAACGGCAGGACCAACTGGTTCTTTACTCAATTCACAGATTAGATCAAAGGTTTATCATTCACCAAGGCTTTGGTATGTCAGAGTTAATATCATTGAAGCACAGGACATCATAATAGCTGACAAAACAAGGTTTCCAGAAGTGTTCGTGAGGTGTCAGATTGGAACTCAGGTTTTCAAAACCAAGCCAATCCAGGCAAGGACTATGAGCCCTTTATGGAATGAGGAATTCATGTTTGTTGCTGCAGAGCCATTTGAAGAAACCTTGCTTCTCACAGTATTTGATCGTGTTGCTTCAAACAAAGAAGAAATCATTGGTCGAGTTCAAATACCACTTGCCACTGTAGAGAAGCGTTGGGATAATAGAGAAATTGACACAAAGTGGTACATTCTGGATAAGCATGGTGTAACTGAAGAAGACAAGGAAAAGAAAAAAGACAAGTTTTCCAGCAGACTTCATTTAAGAATCTGCCTTGATGGTGGCTACCATGTGCTTGATGAATCAACTCATTACAGCAGTGATCTAAGACCAACAGCTAAGCAGCTATGGAGGCCATCAATTGGGTTACTTGAGCTCGGAATCCTAAATGCTGATGGTCTCCAACCCATGAAGACAAGAGAACGGAAAGGCAGCTGTGACACTTACTGTGTGGCTAAGTATGGCCAGAAATGGGTTCGAACTCGCACTGTGTTAAACAACTTAAGCCCAAGATACAACGAGCAATACACATGGGAGGTTTATGACAATGCCACTGTTCTCACAGTGGCTGTGTTTGATAATTCCCAGCTTGAAAAGGGCGGTGATGAAAACAAAGATGCCAGAATTGGCAAAGTCAGGATTAGACTCTCAACTCTTGAGACAGGGAGAGTTTATACTCATTCATATCCTCTCCTTGTTCTTCATAACTCTGGCTTGAAGAAAATGGGTGAGCTTCATCTAGCAATCAGGTTCTCATCAACATCACTTCTCAACACAATGTTAATATACACCAAGCCACTACTGCCAAAATTACATTACCTTCAGCCAATATCCATGATGCAGCTCGAAATTCTTCGCAACCATGCAGTCCAGATTGTGGCTTTAAGGCTAAGTAGAATGGAACCACCATTGAGAAAGGAAGTTGTAGAGTACATGTCAGATGTGGAATCACATCTATGGAGCATGAGGAGAAGCAAAGCCAACTTCTCTCGGCTCATGTCGGTTTTCTCTGGAATAATTGCTGTTGGAAGATGGTTCAGTGATGTTTGTTACTGGAAAAATCCTTTAACAACTGTGCTGGTTCATATCCTGTTTGTAATGCTTGTTTGCTTCCCTGAGCTTATAGTGCCAACGATTTTCCTTTATTCCTTTCTGATTGGAATGTGGAATTATAGACTCCGGCCACGCCATCCTCCGCATATGGACACAAAGATTTCACGGGCTGATTCAGTGCATCCTGATGAGCTTGATGAGGAATTTGATTCATTTCCTACTACCAGAAGTCCGGATTTGGTAAGGATGAGATATGACAGGCTGAGGAGTGTGGCGGGGAGAATACAGACAGTTGTGGGGGATATTGCGACTCAAGGGGAAAGATTGCAGATGTTGTTGAACTGGAGAGATCCAAGAGCAACGGCTATATTTTTGGTGTTTTGTGTTTGTACAGCAATGGTTCTTTATGTTACTCCATTCTCAGTGTTGGTTGTGGTTTCTGGTTTTTATATGATGAGACATCCGAGGTTCAGGCATAAAATGCCATCTGCAACCATAAACTTCTTCAGGAGATTGCCTGCAAGAACAGATTCTATGTTGTGAGATGGAATTTTGATTGAAGAAGCTTCTATTATCAGTTTAGCTGTTTTTTTCTTAAACTAATTTAAATTGATGGCTTTCTATGTTGTTTCCATCAGATGATCTGGAACAACTATGGTGGCATATAACTGTAGAATTTCATTGCAAGAACAAGTTAAGTTCCGATGAAAGAATTTCTTATGCAAATTTAGTATATGCAGATCAATCTTATTTTGGCGAGTTTTTTTGGGAGGTTTTTGGAGATTTCCGAGTAAATTTTGATTGCCATAGATAATTGCAATACTGACAATTGTAGAATTACTGGCGACAAATGGTTCTTGAGTTTAGTTAGTTGGTTCATACTTCAGACTGAAACCACATTAAATACTTCGGCAGTTTTACCATTTTTATCATGTAGTCCAACATTTAAATGCATACTTCAGACTGAAACTACATTAAATATAAAATGACATGTAGCACTAAGTACAAATAAATTTAAAAAGTGGAGAATTCATAGAGCAAATTCTGAATGATTAGGATAAAATTTATGATAATGATGATGATTGGGGGCCATCGATTAGCTCACCTATGATGATTGCATCATGTTTATACACATGTCTAGTAAATATCTAAGGTTGACTCAATTTAATTGGACATGCATTTGTTGACCCATATTCTAAAGGCGTGCGAAAGAAAGATGAAATCAGCAATTTAAGCGATGTGCATCGGCACGGTGCATCACTTGAATTGTCAAATGACCTCTGATTGCAAAACGGACTTCGCCGTTGCAATTAGAGCATCGAATTCCCCTCGCAATCAAATCGAGCTAAAATGGTCAAAGTTGACAACCAACACCCAAAATTGATGCACAATATTGCCCCAACGATGCCCAATTGTGAAGTGGATTTCGTCGTTGCATTCGAAATGCCAACATTATTCAAAATCATTTATAATATTGCCCACTGAAATCCGGCTGTAGAAATCGGTGCAAATCGCGAGGCAACAATGCATAACCCGAGGCGTGGAAATTTTGCCTCATTCTCGTCACCTCCATGATATTATTATTATTATTATTATTATTATTATTATTATTATTCAATAATAATAATAATAATAATAAATTTAATCAAATCTTAAATTACCTCATATCCTGTCAAAGAATCCCATAGATCGGGCTGAAATTTCTAGAAATCCGATCCAAATCTCTGCCGGAGCAACTCAGGTAGCTTCCCGTGAATCCCGCGTCTCAATCTCATGCAAGCCCAACTTCGTCGTTGAGAGGCAATCAAACGAGAACTTCATTCATTTTTGTTTTTTTCACTCCACGAGCTCTTCAAATCCCTCCTCTCTTTCTACGTCGCGTAGAGAGACCCAACCGATCTGCACAGCAAAACTCCTCACACGAACAACCATCCCCATACAGCCGCAGCTCCCTTGCTCTGGTTTCCCCTCTGTTGTTCAAAGAGATCCATGCTTCGAACCACAAGAAAATTCTGAAACTCCACTTGCAGCAAACCTCCTCACAGTCATCCAATTCTCTTCCCACAACCTTCTCTCGAAATCCACAAACACCTCATGTAAATCTTGATCGTCTTAATACCGCATATAGCCCCGAATCTTTCCTTTTCCTGTGCCAAATACCACAGCTCTCAAACCTCTGCATCGATTTCCCTCTCAGTCTCAAATCTCTCTACTTCCCTGCCGATTCCAGCCAAACTCCATGACATCACTCGTTATCATCTTGCCGCTAACAACCCCGATCCCTTCCTCTTGAGCTACAAAATGCCTCCGATCAATCCCTTTGTTTTTTTTCTAAACAATGTTTGCTAAAGCCTCAAATCCCAACCAACACACATTCCTCCAATCCCACCTTCCTGCCGAGCTACGTGATTCGATTCACCGTCTAACCTACAGATACACTTACCTGACCCCCTCAATCAACCTAGCCACCTACTACTCTCTGTGTTCCAGAAGAAATTATTATGTATGTCAACACAGCTTACCTTCTAAAAGCCAATCAGGTGCAGCCACATCATCCGGTACAAAGCAATACCGAGCTTAGTACCGAGATCGGTACCGAGCAGTACTGAGATGAGTAGGGGTGATGTGAGCATTTTCATTAGGCTCTGCACGGCATTCGGTCTCCGTACATAATAACTCATCATGTTTTTGTTCCAGCAACTTGCAACTCCCCCTCATAGCTACAGTTGAACCTAATCCCCTCCAAACATCTCTCTCTCTCTCTCTCTCTCTCTCTCTCTCTCTCTCTCTCTCTCTCTCTATTATTATTATTATTTAGTAAAGAAAGTGAGAAAAAATAATAAAAGAAGGAAAAAAAAAAGAGAAGAATTTTTTTGTGACTTTCATCGATGGTGTCCCGCCAATGTCCTCGACACCATCGTTGCCAGTCTTCTTGTTAAGGTATAAATGTCCCTAAAACTCAAAAGCTCCAAATACAGCTTTCAGCGCTCGTAGTGCACCACCCATATATGCTCTTTGAAGTGGGGTGGGAGGGAATCCAGTGCGGCGCATGTGGCAAGGCAGGTAGGCCCATTACACACTCTTTGTAGTGTGGCAGGGACAAACCTAAGAATTTGTGTATATACCGTCATGCTAGCGGGGGAAAATTACATTTCCAAACATGTAACTTGATGACCCATACACACTCTTTGTAACGCAGTGGGATTGATGAACCACAACCGTGGTGTTTCCCAAACACCTACCATACATGCTCTGCATAGCGTGGTGGGAAGGCCTAACTCCACAAATTTCTTCTAAACGGAGGAGATATCGGGAGGCTATCAAATTTTTTAATGAATAGAGAATCTGAACTTAAGCAAATCGACGGTGTAGGGGATAGAACTTATAAATACAAGGAACAGAACTTCACTGAAAATAGGAAATCAAGCTTAATATTTAACATAAAAAAGTGGAAACCATAAAATGATAAAAATCAAATGCAAGCATACAGACAAGAGACTCATGATGAACAAAACCCTTTGTGCACATTAATGATGAATAAGGGATTTAATTAAATTGCATAATTCAACTAATCGCAAATCAACATTCACAAATAGCACAAGCAAATGTGCATGATGTAGCAAATGATGAATGTAAACATCCATTAATGGTTTAGCCTTAGATGAGAATCAAGGACCCTTTATGCACACAGCAGTTCACGTGAAAGTACTAACAAGCGACAAGCAATGAGTGTAGTAACGCCTTATAATCGACATAAAAATTAAAAGTGAATATATTTAGCCTTGCAAGCAATAAAATTAGAGGGAATATATAATTTGATTTGCAATCAGATGTACAAAGTCCCTAAATAATACTATAAGCGACATATGAATGACGACATTTAATATATAATGTTCACATAAGTCATGTAGGAAAATACAATGATCCCTACAAGAAGCAATAATAGATATATTGCAAGGACTGTCGATCTTCTATAAATGTAGATATTCACAAAACATATCATCTACAAGTGAGGGAAACATAGCTGCAGTACATACAAACACCCCCGAAACTACTGTAGTAAGAGGTAGTGAATGTCATAGAACTCTTACAGTCAATAATCTCTCATTAACAGACATGCAAGAATATGCTTGTGAATAAAACATAGAGATACAAAATGAATGTATGACATTCTTATAATCGACGTCAACCAACTTGCAAAAATGTTTTCTGTACCTCTATAAGTGATCAAGATCGACGTACGATAAATGAGAAAGACTCCTTTCAAATACAGATGAAAGGGTGAGTGCAATGAACACAATTCACTGGAATCCAACATTAAATGAGCATACTAGCCCTCTTGTAAGAAATAATGATAGGTACGTTGTTGGTGGGATGGGTCATGTGAATTTAAATATAGACCCAAAATGTTATTATGGGCTCCGAAAATTCAACCCCGACCTCCCCTGCTTGCTTTCTTTAGGGGAAATTTTAACGGTATTAAGTTATGGGGTAAATTTTGGGAAGGTAGATGGGTTTGGAGATAAGACACTACCCAGAGATTTAACCCTCATTTTGCGAGGACTTTATGATCTGAGTTCTGGTTTCCTATAGGTGCAAGACCCTATAGTTAATTACTCCTAATAATAGGAGATAACTTTCAATTAAGGCTAGTTGTTAATCAGATATGTAGAAGTATGTGTTATCTAGCATATAGTAGTAACATGGGTTAATGTATTTAAAAATGCAAAAAGTTTGATATATAAAACTGGAAATTTCACCATATTGTACTTAAAGCGGATGGTTGGGGAATAGATGATGGATCCGATCAAGATCCCATGGTTCTGTCATCCCGGGTCATCGTGGTCTCTAGTCTATTTAGTCAAAGGAGGTAGTCGACCCAACTTGGTAGAAGGATCCTTGTCGACAGCCATGGGTTACTTCGTCCAATGGGACCTTATAGACTTGTGGTGGATATTTTGCTAAGGGTGAATCCACCTTAGCTAATAGAGGGCTTTGTGCCCTATCGATTATATTCTATTGATTCATATATCAAGGATTTTATGCCACTAAGGAACGTATTAGCTCTGGCCAGAAGTGATATCTCGTGGTGCCATTTGGCGTCAAAACCACTAAATTTAGATGGCCCCATGTCATAACTGTTTATCATGTAATAACATTTGGAAGCTAAACACCGGTCAGAGGACACATACTACGTCTTTATTGGCAGGAGATTGTTTGAGAATAGATCATAGTTATATTTTTGACTAGGCATTAGCTCCATATGAGCCGAAGTAAATTTTAATTTATCCACCCTGATAAACTGTTATAGAGGGTGGATGGATTTTACTTTAAGTGTTTGATAGTATTAAATTTCAATTTTAAATATTTGAATTTGGAATTTTTTGGATATTTGGGATGACATTTTAAATTATTTGGAATGGGCCCTCTAGTTAATATTTGTATTCAACACGACCATCATCAGGGTGTTTGGGGGTTATTTCTATTTGTGGATTGAACCTTATCGACTTTGTCAAGCTATCCATAGTGATTCAGGTTCGTTGCTAACTTCACAATTTTGTTAATGATTTTTCTATGTTGGAGGCCTTGAAGGCCTTATATGAAGATATTAAGTAGATATTTTGGTCGACACTCTGACCGTATATCTTTTTGATATTCGAGCTGTGTCGACTCCTATCTATCCATATAGAAGGATCGGGCTCAAACTATATTCATTTATGGACCCGCATAACATCCCTAGACGTCATGTGTGTACCAATAACACGCT